TGAATTGGTTAATTGCGATAAGCAAAAAAATTTTAGGGGGATCGTCCAATTTTGGGGTTCTTTGACGGGATTTATATGGTGACGGGATTTATATACGACAGATTCATCACATGATAGATAATACCGATCGTATGATTGTGCAACTGGTGGAGGCTTACCTGTCACCTAATCGCCATTGCTCTGATTCGGGAAACTGTAAACCAGGCAATCGAAATTCTTGATGTTCAAATCCGAAGTTCAAACACTGGATCAGCTTTATAAAGATACATTCCGAGAAGGTAGTTGTGCCATGTAGCATTTGCACAAGTCATGATCTATGCTAACCCCAGTATCAACAAAGTCCGTGTACAAGTTGGATGTTGTAAGAGATTAAGCGACTGACCTTGAGCTAGCACTAGCAGACTTCATGAGTTGGGAGACATACCAAATATGACAGTCTTATTGACGGAAGTGGCGAGACGTCTAGTTAATAGTGCATGTATCTAATACCAAGACTGACAATTGGTAATTTGATTTTTGAACTTATCTTTTATTTATTTTCTGGTTTAATGTAGGCCTGATTTACGGCCTGATTTTATTATGTGGCCTGATTTATGTCTTGATTTGTTGAATTTGTGGCCTGATTTTTACTGTATCGAGAATTTTGAAGATTTATATGGAATTAAAATAAGGGAAATCCGTCTAGCATCAAAGCTGGGATATAACTGAGGTTGGGATACAAGTGGGGGGGGGATATAACTGAGGTAGAACTGTACTGTGATATCAAGTCTAACAATTAAGATGTGTAGTTTATCGTCGTCCGACGGATCTTTGCGTGGAGCCGCAATGGAGAGAGGAATTCCTGCGATTACCGGTGGGTTCATTAGGCGAAAGCAGGATAAAAAAAAAGTCATTTAGCTGCCTTCATCATAACATCTTGCACGCGTAATATAACCTTTCACATCAACGTATTTATAGTCGAGATTGGAGATCCATCTAAATTCCAGAGACGGTTTGTTCGAATGCTTTACAAGGGGTAACGAATATCTTGAGTAATTTGAAAATGATACCTGATGACAAGCAGCCCGCGGATTATGA